AAGGAAACGTCTTCTGTTTTCAAGAGGTATACGACCAAGTGGAGTACCTGTATAAGTGCTTTGGCGAAAATCGCGACAGACGGATGGTAATGCTTGGAGAGGAGCAAGAGCTCACTATCAACAAGATTGCGGCAGTCGACAAAGAGTGGATTGCGTACAGCATGATTGTACGGCGACGTCGCCGACTTTGAACCTATAGAAACAGCTTACTCTTACAAGTAGATACAAATTTTCATGAAAAAAAAATTCATAGAAAAGAATGCGTGAGTCTTACCCGTTTGTTTTCGATGTACCCAACCAGGCTTATTTACGAAATTGCCACAATGACCATTTTCGGTGGTTTTCTTCTCGTCATCTGCGTCATTGGCAGCTTCAGAAGGTTCCTGATTTTAAGGAGATATTGAAAATTTAGCAAAGCTCTCTATCTTCAACTCAAAACAACCACTAATCTAATCTACAAACAAGTTAAAAAGCAGTACCTCTTCTTTTTTAATGATCGTGATAGGCTTTCCATCAGGTCCCAAGTCAAAATACCTCTCCTCGTCGTCATCGTCACCAGTTTGCAACTTTGCATCTAGCAGAGCTACCCTCTATAAGGAAACAAACAAGTAAAAACAAACAAAAATAAGGTCAGTCATTTTGACAGAAATTGAATTCTACATCCAAACCTACATCGATATGTTTTTGTAGAACGATTAGATCCCTTTTAGTCTCAAGCAACCGAGATATTAGTATCAGTATACCAGCAGCTAGTGAAGGAGTTGCATTTGTAGCAGCCTTAACAAAAGAAAAACATGAATACGAGAAGAGTCCAGGACAAAGCAAGAAATCACCTGTAGCAACCGCTTGACAAATGACCGCACGCGACTTTCAGAAGGATCTGCTTTCAAAACTTTGAACACAAGGAGAAGTAGTTGGTTGTAACACGATGGAGGAACTTCGACTAGCAGTTTTCGGTAAAGTGCCGTGTAAAATCGGTCCGAAAGTGAGTCGCTGCAACATATAATGAAACAACTTCGTGATAAGACACTAAATAATGTTACACATTGTACATCAGAACAAATTTGGCTTAACGGCAGAAAAAAGACTGGCTTCAGTTACCCACGCCTTTCAGCCTAACCTTGATCAACCTTCCAATTTTCAGATCACCTAGTTCTGTTTGAGGCTTATCGTTCCACACCCCATACACCAATTATTCTCCCTCTTCTTCGCGAACTTACTTCTTCTCTACAGCCACAAGCCAATTTAAGGATTTTCAAAGAAAAATGAGAGAAACCTCATGATAAATCATAGTTAGACGGGTACCTTATTTGATGTACTTGGAATAGCAGTTTCAGTGTTTGCAGCGATACCGAATAAGAGCTTGTATGGACAATCTTATACAACGTATTGATATCCTCAACCAATGAATCGGCTTTCTCTGAATATCCAATTGATTCAAAACAAAAGAACAACGTTCTCAAGCTTGACGTCACTGTGAACAAACCTTTTGCGAATGGAAGCGCACGGTTTGCAGCAGATAGAAGAATTCCTATGAGCCGATTGTCAGGAAGTTTGCGATTGACAAGGGTTTTGAACAGACCAAAGTAAATTGACAGCAGTTGTACAGCAAGCGACGAGTCTTCCGCATGCAAAAGGATCTGTAAAATTAGAAGGGGAGGTTGTGATCAGCTCGAACCGTTTTCAAAACAAGGTATTATGAAAAGTGTACTACTTGGTACAAGCGGAAACACAATCGAGAGAGAAAAGTGTAAAAGTAGGAAATGAGCGAGTCCTGGAACAAATGTAGTGGCGACCAAACCAACCTGCGAAAGGAATGTCGACGCATACACATGTGCCTTG